CCCCCCCCCCTGTGAATACTAAGTAGGTTCCAGTAGAGAGAAAAAGTTGCAGGTCCATCCAACTGATTGTTCTAGATCCAAAGCTCTCAACTGAATCGTTTCATGTAAAAGAAGGGTGGTACGAATCAGACATTTATTAGTGGGTAATGTTAAACTCTATGTAACTCTTGCCTGTTGGTTCCACCCAGTTTGGTATATTTCATCAGGTCTATAAGTTCTATACTTATTGTCTTCAAACTTTTGCCCACTTCCACTTATTAGAGAAAATGCAACGAACTTTTGTAACTAGCCTCAATTCTAAGGACCCTATTAACGTTTTGCCTTGTAAAGGCATCATGATATCTTCCAGGGAAACCTATGATTGAATGGCTAGAAAGAACTCTAGTTCTTCCTATATAAAGATAATCTATCCTTTGTATAGTTCGAGTACACATCTCACAAATTGGGATTCAGATTCATGGAATGTATTCTTTACATAATTTGAATACAAATTATACAAATTTAGGTCTAGTTTGATTAAGCTTATAAACTCTACTTTTACTTATAAAATGGTTATAAATCAGACCATTTAAGTTTCTACTCCAGTGTAACATTGCAAAGTGCTAACTTAGAGGTAAGCATAGATTGCGATCTTTTAAACACGAATATACAACAACTATTTACTCAAATATAACTTAAAACAGGTAAAATTGGAAACACGTCTAGTGAGCTATGAACAGAGTTGATGAGCTATGAACAGAGTTGATGGCTGTTGATTAATGTTTCAGATTTTTCAAATAACACAGCGCTTAAACTTCCACAGAGAGATAACATGGACATCTACCAGAACACTTTCTAAACAGTAAATTGTTCATAACTATGTCAAGAATTTTTTTTAGCGGTGAATATGCAATGGTACACATCCTAAAAAATGCTAACGCATGGACATGTGAATGAATTTCCATTTTAATGAAGTTTTAGCTTTAAATTCAGTGCCTATCTCATCCCTAAACCATGTAAAGAGAGACCAAAAATTGAGAGAAGAGGATAAGTCACTTATCAAAGCAGCAGGAGACTGTAAGCTGAGAAACGGAGCGATGTCTACTTGCAATCAATTCTCAACTGCAGAACCGACTACTGCACCTGCAAGGAAGAACAGCAGAGCTAATTGCAAATATTCTCATATGAAAATTGCACGATCAGATCTGTATTTCTCAGCATACTTTTGTGCACAAGAAACGAAATCACTTCATTTATGTCAAAGTTCATGAATATATGTAATACAAATAGGATAAATAAATATCACATGTAGCATAAAAAATAAATTTTGATTCGAAAGGAAATAGACCCAGTATTCGCAAGCATCAAGTTTATTTCCCAAAACCTCAACAGTATTCGCAAGCAGAAAAACTGAACGATTTCTTCAATTGTTCTCCAAATTTGTGAAGATTTACTTATATCCAAATCTTGTAAGAACTAAAAAGCACAAAGAATTAGCACTAGCAGAACTCCTTACCAAGCTTCACGTTCCTTTTGGTCAAAAAAATACAAAGAAGCTACAAAGCTACATGCAAATAAATCTAATAATCCATGTACGGTATTTCGTTCAAAATCATAACTGCCTCCTCATGTAGTAGCAAGGATCTGAATGAAATGTTCGAATCTAATTGCCGCCGGAGTAGGAAACTCAAAAGATCGTTGCTAAAGTGATAATAGCCATTCTAAAGAGTGTTGGCAAAACAAAAGGAAAGCTTAACTCACTCAAAAAGTTCGCAAGCTCCATGCCGATCATATTAGTAACATAAAGAAACTCACACACGCACACACACACATACACACATACACAAAGATCACACGAATAATTACCAAATCAATCGGACTTCCCAATTCCGAATGCCAATACTCAAATCAAAGGGAACGCAATATTTAAATCCCTAAAATACCAAAATTCCCCAAACGAAGTAAAAAAATCGAACTCCTTCTACCTGCGCGACTGTTTCTTGGTCGTCCTTGCAAGCGGCCATAATCGACTTCCTAGCACGAAGAATATCACCGAACGAGGCCTCATCGGAGACTCCAAGAACATCGAGAGCATTTTCCACGGATATCTCGAACGGCGCAGAGTCATCGGCTCACGAACCAGCTTGCACCAGCATTCCCCTCATCGCAAATGTTCGAAAGATTTGTGAAATGCCAACGCCTTTCCATTGATTCAATTTTCCGATGAAGTTCGAACCGAGCCGGTGACCCGGTGATGTCGGAGAGGCTGCGCCGGCGGAAAGACGGTTGAGGCGGACGGAAAGAGCGGCCGTCATTGGTTCAAATTGAATCAACATGTTAAGACTCTTCTTTAGAGAAGTGCCTGCCCCATGGTTTACAGTATAAGCAGAACCTGCAAAATTGTGAGCTCTCTCTTAGACCATAGGTTAAAAAGTTAATTACAAAATTATTTGGGCTAAATTTTAATTTATCCCAAAATATAGGGATCAAACCTGCAATTTGACCATATATCTATTTTTCACCCAAAAAAAAATAAAATAAAAAAACTTTAATTTTATGCCATTTATTTAAAGTATGTTATTGTACATAAATAATACTAACTTATTCAGGACCTGAAGCCGATAAATAAATAGGATCCCTTCTTATAGATTTGTGGATAATGATTCTGATCTAGTTTATGGTCTGATAGAAACAAACCATACACGAGACAAAAGTTATCAAATTCAAAGCTAACGTGCTTGAAACATAATTAATTATTAGAGTTCTCGAGACAAAAAAATTTTAAATTCTATAATTTTAAACACAAATTTTCTAAAATTTTAAATTTAGGTCTAAAATATTGAGTGTATGGCAACAAAATTACTTAAAAATTATAGGTTTGAATAAACAAAAAAAATAAAAGTTTTTATTTATTTATTTATTATTTATTGTTTTTAAATTATAAAAAACAAAAAAAAAAAGGAAAAGATTCACGAATTACCCCTGGCCAACGTGCACCCATGCAAATCACGACGATGAGATAAAGATTTAACTAAAATACAGATAATGAAGTGGGTCCCACTTAGGGCATTTTTGTCAATTCACTTTCCAAAAGTAAAATGAAAAATTCCCCACATCTGTCAATCGTGGACCAATAGATTTCCGCCACGTAACATGGGCTAAGGTACGCAACAATCTCTCTTATTACTACCATTATTTTTTTGCAATTCCATAATTCAACTAAATTACCAAACCATTAAATTTTCGTAAACTAAAAAAATAATTAAATTTTATGATAAATTACAATAATATATTCCTATTATATTTTTAATACACAAATTACGATACTACCCTTCATCTTTTATAAACAACAAAAATTAAGATTCATATTTTAACTAATATTTACTGTAATTTTGAAACATTTTTAAGATTCATATTTTAATTAAAATTTACCGTAAATTTGAAACATTTATAAAACGTCGAAATTTTTTATTTTGTTTTAATTTTAAACTAAATATTTATTTTAATCCGTCTGCGAATTAAAAAAAAAAAAAAAAAAGGAAAATGGATATTCCGAGTAAAATTTAGTTTCTTCAATTATTAATAATAATATTTCCAGTCCGTCAGATCCCAGATTACATCTTCTCGCTGCTGTCCACATCTCTTCTCGCACTCGGTTCCTCTATCAGATCAGGAGAAGCGAAAAGCACAGGTTTGAATCTTCGTGTTCTCTTTCAGATCCATAATGAATCCAAAAACTTTCTTAATCGTTCTTTGATTGCCTCGGATTCTCGTTTTTGTTAGGAATATGTTTTTGATTTGCCTCTTCAGGCTATACTAGTTGATTACGCTTGTTTTATCCGAACTTGGATTCTTCTGTGGTTGCGAATTGTAGCCATTTGATTTCGAGGATAGTTTTGTGTTTTTGTTTTCCTGTTGTGATTGGCTTGTGTTGAGGAAGTTGAAGGTGATTGGATTAATTTGGTGATACATTCAATTGAGCTATTTTGTTAATTTGTTGTAATTGAGTTTTATTCTTTGTTCTTGGTGTGTTAGTGATTCAAGTATGGGTATGGAACAAAACAATCATGATGCAGAGGAGGGAACGCTGGAGATTGGCATGGGTAGGTTTTCAATAGCTTGTCCTTGCTATCATTTCTCAAATTTTTTCAGTTTTATTGTGATCAAATGGATATAAGCCTCAGAATCAAGCATCTGGAAACTTTTGTTCTGCGTAAATGATTTTCGATTGGTTTTCGTGCTGCAGAATATAGAACAGTCTCGGGAGTTGCTGGTCCTTTGGTTATTCTGGACAAAGTCAAGGTATGGATCCTTTCTCTCTGGTTCGTCTAGTATATTGTATAGAGATTCTAGGTACTGACTCTTTTTCTTAAATTCCCAGGGACCTAAGTTTCAGGAGATTGTTAATATTCGTCTCGGAGATGGATCAACCAGGCGTGGTCAAGTCCTGGAAGTTGATGGGGAGAAAGCTGTTGTTCAGGTTATCTTCGTTAGCGCTTTTCGGTTTTATTTCCAGTTTCACTATCAGACTGACTTCTTACGTAGGATCGAGGTTCAGGCATAATGTGCTCGCTCTTTAGTTGAGTGCTCGTGTCCAGATTATACACTGGTTTTGGTCAATTGATACCATTAATTTTTGCTAATCTTCTACTGAGATTGTACTGCCTCGCTTTCTTTTTTGTTGTTTATTCATGGAAAGCTTTTCATCTACTTATAATATTTGATTTGTTGCTTTCAATTTCCAGGTATTTGAAGGGACATCTGGAATTGATAACAAATATACAACTGTGCAATTTACTGGAGAGGTACGAACCCTATTATAAATAGAAGAAATGATTGAATTTATCTTGTCAAATGAATTTGTTCGAATCTCTCTGTTTTTTTTCGTGAACATTCAGTTGGAAAGATTTAGCAGCATTTTCACGATATCGTTATGATCAATTAATGGGACTCCTCTTGTAGAGGGATTCAATAGAAGGAAAAAGAATTGACAAGAGGCCTGTATAAAAAAAAAACAATACTAGGTTAATCACCGATGCCTATAAATGGATCGGTTCGACTGCATAAATTTTTTATGTTCAATGCTTTATCTTAAAAATTGTTTATTCCCTTTTAACCGAAATTTCCGGAGGGTACTTCAAACTAGCGTCTGGCACCATGATTACCTTTTTTTTTTTTGGAAATTCTGCTGCCAGCCACCAGGTCTTGGAAACTTGAAATTGATAAAGAGATTCATTGAGTTTCTCTATAGTTTAACCTTGTTCTACACTTAATTTTATTGCTCATTACTTCTGTTCATCTTTTTTGTAGGTTTTGAAAACTCCAGTCTCTTTGGACATGCTCGGTCGAATTTTTAATGGTTCTGGAAAACCCATTGATAATGGTCCTCCTATCTTGCCTGAGGCTTATTTGGACATTTCTGGTATGTTGCTGGAAATCTAGAGAAATCATTTTCCTTATTTTTCCATTTTAATAAGTTCACAGTTTACTATATTTTATTTTCCTGATGTGCTATTCTTCTTCCTTAGGGAGTTCTATAAACCCTAGTGAGAGAACTTATCCTGAAGAGATGATACAGACTGGGATTTCTACAATTGATGTCATGAATTCCATTGCTAGAGGACAAAAGATCCCTCTTTTCTCAGCTGCAGGTCTTCCTCACAATGAAATTGCTGCCCAGATATGCCGTCAGGCTGGCTTGGTAAAGCGGTTGGAGAAATCCAACGATCTTCTCGAGGTATAGCCTATAGTTGTATAATTTTGCAGGCATGTGTTTTTTTCTTTCTCAACGAGTTGGTTTGGAAAAATGAAATTGCATGGTAGATATATCCACTCTAAATTTTTTTGTTATTTAATATTCATAGAGGCCATACTTCCTTTTTAGTATATGTGTGAAATTATTTTGTAATAAGTCAAAAATATAATGAATTTGATCTTCAAGTTTAAGTTAAATTTGCAATTACATGCAAGTTACTGCAATGCTGAAATCTATGTGAACTGCGTAATTGATTTCTGGTTCTCAAGACAGTTCCTTGAGGTGTATTGATCTGATAATCGTGATGCTTGTTTTTTTTTAATTAACTCAAGTTTTTGATTTTCAGGGTGGTGAAGAGGACAACTTTGCCATTGTTTTTGCCGCTATGGGTGTTAACATGGAGACAGCTCAATTTTTCAAACGTGATTTTGAGGAAAATGGTTCTATGGAGAGAGTGACCCTATTTCTGAACCTGGTATTTCTTTTATACATAGATTGATGAAACTTTGTTGCGACTATTTATTCTTAAATATGGAGGCCATGGTATTTTACAGGCTAATGACCCTACTATCGAGCGTATTATCACTCCTCGTATTGCTCTTACCACCGCTGAATATTTGGCTTATGAATGCGGGAAGCATGTTCTCGTCATATTGACAGACATGAGTTCTTATGCGGATGCCCTTCGAGAGGTAATCCAATGATGTATTTATTCATAGTTTCAGTTTCTAAATATGTTACTTGAATGCAAAAGTAAATGCAGAATGTCCTAGATGATAACTAATCTTTTGGGATTTCATTTTAATTGGAATTTGGCTGACCTATGACCAAATCTTGTAGTTCTATAGTTTTTAACCCTTAAAATAATTGCTTTTAGTTGATGACGACTTTGTTAAATTAACTGATATTTAAGTTCGCAAGATGTTCCTTGCCAAAGAGGGGAAATAGAAGAAAAGAGTTCAAAAAACACATAAATCAATTGACTTCTTTGCAGGTGTCTGCAGCACGAGAGGAAGTGCCTGGAAGGCGTGGATATCCTGGTTATATGTATACTGATCTTGCTACAATCTATGAGCGAGCTGGACGTATTGAAGGACGTAAAGGATCCATTACTCAAATTCCAATCCTCACTATGCCAAACGATGGTAATGCCTCAAGCTATGTTTATTGTCTTGTTAAATGAACGTTTTTGTTCTTTAGCATTTTAATCGATTCTTTTGGGGTTTTGGGTGTGATCAGATATTACACATCCGACTCCCGATCTTACTGGCTATATTACCGAGGGACAGATCTACATCGATAGGCAGCTCTACAACAGACAGGTTAGTTTATGAAGCTTAGGATTTATATATATAACTAGTTCACTAATAGCAAAATAAAAAAAATCAACCATGAGACTAACTTGCTAAGGCTTGTTAGCTAAAATGTATCAATTTTTTATGAACTCGGAATTAATAGTCGACGATAATTGCTACTCTTCGAGTATTCTTCCTATTGACTCTGGATCTGATTATTATGTTCTTGGCTTGGCCAGATATACCCACCAATCAATGTCCTTCCTTCATTGTCTCGTCTTATGAAGGTAACTTTTCTTCCACAATGCTTGATGATAGTTTTAGAAGCATTGAAAAATTCATGATGTACTCTAAATCTATCCTCTGTTACTGCAGAGTGCCATTGGTGAGGGAATGACCCGTAGGGATCATGCTGATGTATCCAACCAGGTTAGCTTTCTTTGTTATAGTTTTACCGATCCATCTTCGAGCCAGTAATAAATGCCACGTGACTTAAATATCTATGCGCCCTCGAATGCACGCAGCTCTATGCAAATTATGCAATTGGGAAGGATGTTCAGGCAATGAAAGCCGTGGTTGGAGAAGAAGCACTCTCTTCTGAGGATCTGGTATTTTATCTTTCTTTCATTTTTTTTTTATGAGCATTGTTATGGGATAACAGCAAAGTAACACTGCTTTCTGAAAACAGCTCTATTTGGAGTTTTTGGACAAATTTGAGAGGAAGTTTGTCTCTCAAGGAGCTTACGATACTCGAAATATTTTCCAATCGCTTGATCTGGCATGGACACTGCTTCGTATTTTCCCTCGCGAACTTCTGCACCGTATACCTGCAAAGACTCTTGATCTGTTTTACAGCCGAGAATCTGCAAATTAATGAACCAAAGCTCGTAAGAGACCGCCCGCGTAGATAGATCGTAATGAGCTTTGAGGAATGTTATTTTCAGTTTCTCCCTCTTCCCTTACCTTCTCTCCATATTGCATAAATTCAGAGTGAACAATAAAAAAGTTGTGTACCATCTCATTCTCACAGTTCAGCCCTCTTTCCAAGCAAAAGTCAGAATGGGAACAACATTCTTTTAGCAAGGACATCGAGCTCTTCTCCAATGTCGTCTGTATTATGTTTAATTATTTTGTTGGATTGTGGCATCACTTCTGCTTTGGGGCATGCTCAACAACTTTTCGGGCATCTAAGTTCTATAAAAAGGCCCTTTCCAATTCCTCTTCTTGTCTATTTGTCTATTTATAGAAGTTGATATTATATATTGTATTCCGAACAGTTTTGTGAACGAACTTCTGAAGAATTCGATTTCTTGTTATTATAAATTTCTCCGTTCTCGTTTTAAAGCATGTTTAATAACTATTGGCTTGGAGTTCTACTTCAAAGTTAGAGGTTGAAGATTCAAATCTTTATATCACAAATTTGTCTAACAAATTTATGAGTTTTTAATTTTGCATCTTAAAAGCTTTTTAACTTAAAAAAAAACATGTAGATCCAGCATGAAAGTTCCATGACAGGGAAGAACGACGTACCACTTTGATCTCTGGTTTGATGGTTGTGCGTGATAAAAATATGTTACATTTCATTTTGTTTCCCATCCCAATCTTTCGCAACACTTCAAGTTTACTTCTTTGGTTAGGTCTCAACTTCTTCGCTATGATCTTCACAATAGTTCATATAGAAGCTATACCCGTTTCATTCTTATTTGTTGTTGCAATGTTCTAACTTTCAATTGTCTTAATAACATATAAGCCCTATAAGCCCCTTTTAGCTTCCTAGCATTGCCATAAAATACCACATTCTTGGTGGGTTTGGTCATGGTAAATTACATTACTTCATCTTCTAGTCTTCACAGTTCAAGAACTTTTTGCCCGTAGTCATAACAATTCAAACTTAAAACTATAATAATCATAGAATGGCAAGTAAAAAAGACTAACAAAATCCTATGCCAATCGCAGCAGAATGGCCAGTTTGCTGATAAATTTAAGTTGCTAGCTTGAAACCAGCAACAAATCACAAACCAAAGTCATTATTCTAGTAATACCTGCCACTGAAGAACTGAGAGTAGGCTCTCTTTGCAAGCCATAATATGAAATTGGACCCAACTATACTGCTACTTATGACACCAGCTCTTCATGTTGAGTACCGTACCATAGTTTTGAACCTCCACGTCTTGTATGTGCTCAAGTACAAGATCATGATAAAGCTATAACTTACCAGATTGAGAACAATAACGATTCGTATCGTCACAGGCCTGCAATGAATCACTGAATACTGACATAGTGCTTGCTTTTTGGCATTCCCAAAAACAACAAATTTGAAACACAATAATTGTAGCTATCAGCTCAGAAATGGCATGAAATAAATAGATAAAACAACCAAGTGAACTATGCCCTATACATAGAAAGAACGAAAAATAAATACAACTTAAGAGTGTTGGAGATGTTCAACTACACAACAGATGAGAAACTATAGCCTGTGGCTACTAGCTTTACTTCTAAAAGAATTTGAACCCAACTTTTGACTCATGTGCATCATTTGGCCAAATAAATGACATACAACAATATAGCACGAACAAACGAATCTCATGTGTTAGTTATTTTTCATCAAGATTCATTAAATTGCTATAATGAACAAAAGTCAGGTATTAATTAGAAAATTTTACTTGGTATCGTACTCATCTGGACCACGATTCTCACATAACCATAATTGAAAGTATCTCTCAATTGTCTGCAGCTAAAACAGTATACAGATAGGAAAAATAATTCCTTAAGTAGAGATATGGCAATAATGCAAACTGAAAAGGTGGCAGCAAGAACGTGTTCTTTCACCTCAACATTCATGCAGAGGGTGATCTCGACTCAATATGGTACAATTGATCTTGGTAGTGCCAACTTATTGTTTTTGCTTCTCACCAGCCTGTTTAAGTTAACAGAAGAAATTATCAGAAGAGTAGGAAATGATAGAGGTAATAAACTACGATAAAAGTAGAATACTTTTACGCTCTATGAAAATGGAAGTATACTTAAAAAGTCAAAAGCTTATGGATAGACTTAATGGGAGGGTTAATACGAGTTACAAAATCCTAAACTAGTTATTGATACAGTGCTCTCCAACCAACTAAGGTACCCTTGTTGTCAACACATTGAGAATGTTGAACGACTCTTTTTGGTGTGTCCTTCATTTATCCTTAGTGAAAGGTATTCTAGGTGATTTTAACGTATAATGTGTAACAGCCAAAGGCCACCGCTAGCAGATATTGTCCACTTTGGCCCGTTACGTATCACCGTCAGGCTCACGATTTTAAAACGTATCTGCTAGGGAGATGTTTCCACACCCTTATAAAGAGTGCTTTGTTCCCCTATCCAACTGACGTAGGATCTCACATAATGTCTTTAATAGTCAATATGGTTTCCTTCCTGGCTCTTATTTCCAAAGGAAAGCTATTGCTCTTGTGGTTCAATGCTATCAGGGCTACGTTTGGTTTGTTTGGTTATCGCAACGTATTCTGTGGTATTATTAACGTATGATGTATTTGATAGACAGTATGGTTTCCTTCGTGGCTATTATTTCCAAAGAAAAGCTATTTGTTTATCTCCAATTCCAATAATCATGACCCTTAGTCTCATTAATAGCAAGGAAATAATAGTTAAAAGGGTTAGAGAGATAGATAGAGAGAGAGAGAGAGAGAGAGACCTTTTGGAGTTTCTTTAAAATGGAATCTTCAAATGCTTGGTAACCAGCTCCTACTAAATTATTCAAACGATTATGCTCTGGTGATTTCTCAGCAGCGGGCATCTCTACTGAAGAAACTGGTTGAAGGGGCAAAACTAGTAAAGGGTTAGATAGATCACCAAGCACAGATCTAGTAGAGGCAACCTGCAAGACAAATACAACCCAAGTATAATTACTATAATAGTTTAAGTCGTAGTTTTAGAAAAAGTAAGCTAAAAACAGAGAAAGCAGATGAAGGGAAAATAAGTTTATGGCAAAACTCACTGCAGCATCTTTACTCGACATTACGATCACCGCTGAACCTTTCTTCTTCTTGTTATGCCTAATAACAACATCTTCAACCTCACCAAACTTCGAAAACATCTCTCTTAATTTCTCTGCAGTATAATCCTCGCCAATCTTCTCCCATGAAACCTTAAGCATCCTCTCTTTGTCCATTGTAGATCCAGGATCAACATCGCTATTCTTTCCAACTCCCCCAGTCTCCTTCTTTGGTGGAAATGTTGTCGGTGCTCCTTTCTTTGCGTGCATAGCTCGGATTCTAGCAATCTCTTCCTTTAGCTTTTTGGCAATTTTTTCTTCTTCTGCTAGTTCTTTTGCAGCAGGGTCGGGAGCAAATGCAGATCGCTCTCTTGCTTCAAGGTCCGTCATCATTTTCTGACGCTTAGAATCACGCTCTGATTGTCGGCGATGCTGCTCGCGTTTGACTCTTAGAAGATCATCGAATAATTTCCTTGCCTTCTCATCCTTTAGAATCTCGTAGGATGACTTCAGAATTTGGAAATTAGCATGGGCATTTGGATCATCTGGCCTCTTGTCAGGGTGCAATTCCAAAGCCTTTGCTCTGTATGCTTTAGATATCTCTTTCTCAGAGAGCTTGGAACCTTCCTCACCCGAAGGCAACCCAAGAACAGCATAATGATCGACATCCATGTCTACAAGAATTCAAGAACAACCAACAAATTTCAGACAAACCATAACCATAAACACCCACATACACATCACAATTAGCAAGACTCAGAAAAGAAAAACTTCAAAATGTGTAAACGAACTTGCAACAAATCTTAATAAGAAAGATCTAAAGTAGAAATAAACACATAAAAAAGAAAAAAGATTCACCCATATTCCAATCGAAAATAAGCAATTTACACCAAATTACCTCAACTACAATGTAAGATACTACCACATCCACCAAGACTGGATCGACATATCAGACAAATCGAACGGTTATGTGCCTACTGCTCGTAGTCAAAGAATTTCATCATTTGATAAACAGGAAACATACCGCGCATGATTCAGAGGTATAATTCCAAACCAAGATTGCAACCAAAAGCGTTATATATCATCCAGCCGTCTCAAAGACAAATATTTGTGAACCTTCCATTCAAAGTTCCTAAATAAATTTGTTCTAATATCCCATCCATGCATTAAAAAAAAAAAAAAAAAAACAGAAAACGTTTGATGCAACTGCAGAGTAAGTATCGAAGCAAGAACCGAACGAATCTTGCCCAAAATCTAAGAAGCACAGAAACCCTAGATTGTTCAAACTAGCCACACCATTCCCTCAGTTCCAGAATTCGCACCAAATCAAAACCCAATAAAAATATAAATTATTGAAAATCAGTAGAACACCGAAAGCATGTATGCTCGAAGTACCAATATGCATTAAAAAATCAGGGATGCGAGGGAAACAAAGTTCCAATCTACGAACACAAGCTTCAATCAAACAGGAATCAGAAAACTTCCAAGATGTCATCCTAAACGAGTAACCTTTCCAACAATTTCTTTCTTAGTTCCGGAATTAGGTCAACTGTAACACTCGATGAATAGAGATACAGATAGCAATCAAAATAAGCAAAACAAAGAAGACTAGAGAATTTCATTAAGGAAGTAATTGTACCCGACAATTTCTGATTTCTCCAAGTATCTAATTCAACTACTTCTTCAGATGATGCTTCTAGCTTCGAATTAAAGAAAGCTCGTCGTTAATTACTCTTTTGCTCCGGGGAGCTGAGAAGGACGAAAGTGAAAGATAACAGTGAGGAGGACGAAGCAGATTTCAGAAGAGAGAATTCTTTCAATACTTCACTTGGTCTGCGACCGGCGGCGAATCGGCTGGGCTCTACTGTATTGGGGAGAGGGAAATTGCCAAGAATAGGATGAAAATTTTAAAGAAGCAAAAATTCGTTCTTCTTCAAAACCCTAATTTTCTGAAAATCTCATCTGCACTCCACGACTGCGCGCGACATGCAATTGCGCGCGCCTAGGCGATCGCAAAAGGCACAACGATTATTTTAACTCAATTAATAAGTCATAAAAATTATAATTTATAGATAATTTAGATAAATAGTCGAAAATCAATTTAAAACCGTCGCAAACAAATTAATTGCATTGAAAACATGTAGACAGATAAATTATATATGTTTGGTTGGAAGAAGTTTGATGACTATTTAAATATTTTGAAGCGATTCATACCTAATATGATAGAATAATATATTTTTTTTTTCTTCTCCAATTTAGAATATAATTATAAATGGACAAAATAATAATAATAATTTATAATGCTCTCAAAAATCAAAATCAATATTATATAATTTAAAATTTTAATTATGGAAAGTATAAAGTATCTTTTTTTTCTCCGCCACTTATTTCGTTTGAGGGTAAAAATAACTTTACTTGATCAATATCAGCTTAAACGCTTTCTATTAAACTTCTCGAAACCGACACATGTAGATAGGTAGATAATACTTAAGGGTACGAGAAAACTCTCTCTAAGGAACTTGGCAGGATAACCCGTTTTTTTTATTTTCTTTTTTCTAGATTTTTGTCTTATAAATTTATTCATTTCATGAAGTTTTCTCTCTCTCGGTTCTTCTCTCTTTTGACTTTTTCTTTGTTAAAGACGTTAACATGCATGACTTTTAAGTTTTCTCTATGTGGAACCTTTATTTTTTCAAATAATTATCGCATTATATTTTTGTCTTTCATTTTAATGAAAAAATTAATAAAATAATTTATTTTAAAATAAATTCAAATGTTAGCGTTATTTTACAACTTACCATTTATGTTCCATCTACCATTAATTTATACGTTACCGTCACGTCAAAGTTGATGAAAGAATCATTTTTAAGCAAATTTAAAAGGAAGGAATAAAAGCGTAATTTTTAAAAAATTAAAGAACATTATTAAAATATTTTGAATAACAATATGATTTTTCATGATCATATCAATATATTAATATTCATCCTATTTATAAATTATTATTATATATAAGCTATAAATAATACATAGAAATCTACATATTATTTAAAAATTCAAATCCAAATTAAGATAATTAAAAGCTTTAATTACATCAAACAACATATAGTTTCTCCTTATATTAGCTACACACAATACATTAAATTAAAACATTTATTTCATAAAGAAATAAAGGTAAAAAAATAATTTAAAAAGAGTAAATCAAATCCATTTCCACGGAAGAAATAGATCGATAAAAAAAATAAAAGGGAAAAATAATTTACACGTGGATAAATTAAAACAGAAAAAAAAAAAACTGAAATTAGTTACGGTTCTACGACGTCGTTTCATCTTCGATTTCAGGAATGCTCTGCAGCGCCGGACTCCAAGTCGCGGCGGCTAGTTTCGCTCGGAGAAATTGCTTTCGTCTCATAATAGCCAGCCTGTGTTCGACGGAGACCGACGCCGGAGCAACTCCTCCTCCGCCGCCGCCGCCGGCCAAGGCTTCGAGAACTTGAGCTAAATCTGTCTTCTTCACCACCATCTTTATCCGTACGACTCCGTCTTCTTCGTTCTGAGAAACGAAACCAGTTCCTTCTCTGCTTACTTTGGCAATGGCTTCCAGTAGATTACTGGCTTTCGCATTTTTCCGGCCTCGAGCTCTGAAAAGTCGCCGGAAAGCTCCGTTCGGCGACGCGGTCTGCTTCCCGTCGATCATATTGTTAGGGTTTCGGTTGAAATTGGATCGAATCGGAATCGGAATCGGCGACGTTTAAATAGAGGGAGGGAAACTAAGATTTAGCGAATATTTAAATTACAAGAACGCGGCTCGAAAGCTGGATTTTTATTTTTATTTTTTCAAAACTGAAAATTCCTGATTCTAGAAAACGAGAATAAATAATTACTTGAGTTATATAATTGATTGGATATTTTTAATAGAAGTTTATGTTGACATATTTAATAAAAATTATTTTTAAAAATCTATTTCTGAGGTTTAATCCATTTTATTAACAATTTTTCAAAAAAATATATTTTAGTTCTAAAGTTTTAAAAACAACCATTCAAGTCATGGTTATTATTATTTTTAAGTAATTAAAGTAATTAAAAAATTTCATTGAGTAATGTTTAAATTAAAGATGTTTAGGGAGCGGAGATAGGAAATGTTTCATCATCTTGATTCCCACGGCCTATTTCTATGAGATCCTATCGATTGGAGTAGGGAACAAAATATTATTTTATAGGCGCGTTTTAAAACTGTAAAGCTGACGACAATATGTATCGGGTCAAGGCGGACAATATCTGCTAGCAGTGAACTTGAGCTGTTACAAATGGTATGAAAGTCAAACATCGAGCGGTATGCTAACGAGGACGCTGGGCCCTAAAGGGGGTGGATTGTGAGGTCCCACATCGTTTGGAGAGGGAACGAGTGTGAGCAAGGACGTTGGGTATCGAAGGGGGTGGATTGTAAGGTCCCACATCGTTTGGAGAGGGAACGAGTGCGAGCAAGGACGTTAGGTCCCGAAGGAGGGTGGATGGTGTGCTAGCGAGTACGCTAGACCCAAAATGGAGGTGGATTGTGAGATCTCATATCGGTACAAGAGGGGAACGAGTGCCAACGAGGACACTGGGCCCCGAAGAGGGATGGATTGTGAGATCTCACATCAGTTGGAGAGGAAAATGAAACATTGTTTATAAGGGTGTGGAAATCTCTCCCTAGTCGATACGTTTTAAAATTTGAAGCTGACAACAATACGTAACGGGCCAAAACAGACAATATTTACCAGCAATGGACTTGAGCTGTTACAAAAGTGGTGGGTTTAGGCCATTACAGATTCAATATTCTCATAGGTCAAATACTTAAATTGTCTATCTGAAATTTTAATCCATTTAAATAATAATAATAAATAATCGTTATTAAAAAAAATATAAAGCCGACCTTCCACATGCAAATCCTATTTATACGGACAAAGGAATAATAATAATAATAATGTATGAAGGGAGGGGCATATTTGTGTAACATATTTTAATGAGGCCCAAGCGATCGGTCTATTAGGGAATTGAATGTTGTTTTTTTAAATATAAAAACTATATAGTATAAATGTGTTTGGTAATGTTGGTAGTGGAAACGAATTGGGGTGGCATTCTTTTCGGGAGATTAAATTTGATCTTCAATTAAATATCGTATTTGACCAAAATTTATAAGGTTGGTATGAAATAATTTAGACCGTCAAAGGATTGGCTAGCTGTTCAATGTCCTTGTTTATATTTATTGAAAAAATACGGCATACTTAAATCATATCATTTAATTGACTTACGTGATTCAATCATTGTAATCTTTTGATAACTCATCATTAAGTCATATTTATTTATATTATATATTCCGGTTCGAATCAACATAAATTTTAATATTTTAAATAAAATTTATATATAATATATCAATTTTAAAAATTTATTAGACAATTATAAATATTAAAAATTCATACCGTTATTAAAAGTTTTAAAATTTTTCAAAGATATATTAGAGTTTAAAATTTATTAGACATTTTTAGAAATTTAATAGATATATTTTTTAAATTTTTTAAATTTTGGAACCTATAATTTTTTTTAATTTTGGAACCTATAACTTATTTATTTATTTATTTTTTATTATTATTATTTTCATTTTTTTCTTCCATTACTACTATAAAAAAGAGGTTAATAGTTAAATTCAAATTTAAGTATAAAAATTTATATTATCACAAAAAAATAAAAAATTTATACTATAAATTAAAATTTAAATGCTACAATTTATTTTATTACCAAATATATATATATATATATATATCATAATAGTTTGAAGAGTAGTATTTATTATATTTTGTTATTAAATACTATATATTTTAATAATAAGTATTGTTATATTGCTTATTTAAATTTAAATTTCTATAATAAATGGGAAAAAGCTATTATTTAATATTGAATTTTCTTTTTAAAAAGTAGTCATCTTATTTGCTTTTTTTAAACACAAAAGGAAAAAAAAATTAAAAAAAAAAAGAAAAAGAAAAGGAAAAACGGAGGGAAAAAAGAAAAAGAAAAAAATAAAGCTTGTTTGAATTTCCACCCTCGTTAAGCTAAAATTATTTTATTTTTTTCTTATATATATATAAATAACAATATATATATATATATATATATATAAATTATTTTATATATATATATATATATATAAATTATTTTATACATATGTGAATGTTTGCTGAATCACCACACCTCAATGGGGGTGAGAGTTCTCTTATTTATAATTATTTTCAGAATACAGAAATATGGTAAATTACAAATATTATGGAAATAGTAATAAAAGGAAAGAATAATAAATGAATGCAATATATTTGCCTTTAATAAGAGGGCAAATATGGTAACCCGTAATGTAAGGCAAATATCTAGATATTTGCCTTATAGTGACGGTCAACTATCCTTAACACCCCCCCGCAAGCTGAGCGTCGGATTTGAACGAACGTAAAGCTTGGATCTGAAAAATTCAAAGAGAGGTCGAGAAATACTCTTTGTGAAGATGTCAGCAACTTGGAGATGAGAGGGTACATATTGTGTGCGAAGTTTGCCAGCGATAACAAGTTCTCGAAGGAAATGATAATCTAGTTCAACATGTTTGGCCCGCTTGTGAGAAACGGGATTAGAGCTCAAAAAAATAGCACTTTTGTTGTCACATAAGAGTAAGGGCTGCTTTGAAATAGGGACCTTGAGGTCATGCAAAAGATGCGTAACCCAAAGAAGTTCAGCAGCGGTTGTGGCAAGAGCACGATACTCAGATTCACAGCTGGAGCGTGAGACAGTAGGTTGCTTTTTGGCACTCCAAGAAACCAGATTGTTACCAAGATAAATAGAATAGCCGGATGTAGAACGACGAGTATCGGGACAACCAGCCCAGTCAGCATCCGAATAAGCGACTAGCGTACTAGGAACATTGGATGGACGAAAGGTAAGACCAAAGTGGAGTGTTCCTTTGACATAGCGAAGAATACGTTTGACAGCAAGAAAGTGATCTGCAGTAGGGGCATGC